GGAGGGGGGGGGGGGGGGGGGAAGAGACCCTTCCAAAAATCCAAATGTATATCTCGTTTGAATTCTATGGGGCGAAAGTCGATTACTCTCAAGCGGAAGGATGTAAATGTTTCTCGGGTAACAGCGAGCATTACGATATCGTCGTTTTGGTCTCATCGTTACGGTCTCGGCATTCACGTGCGGGGAATCGTTCCACGACGTCACGAAACAGAAACACGTCACTCGGTTCACCGAACGTCGAGAATCGAGACGCGAGGGTCACATACGCGTAGGACGAATCCATTCTAAGATGCTCGCGTCGTCGACGAGACTCGAAGAAAAATTCGTCTCGGCGCTGCAAACGGTTCCGCGCGAAAGATCACGCGTGGGAGCAAGAAGAATCGTCGTCGGGGATCCTCGGCGATGGATGGAGGAACGGCCGAGAGACGACTGGCAAAAGGTGCCAGCGATGGTAAATTCATTTTTTGAACTCTCGAGTGGGTTTCCTCGAGGACGAGTTCCTGGCTGACTCCTTCGCACGGATGTTAACACGTTGGCGACAATGCGTCCTGATGCCAGGATGCAGATTTTTTTTTTCCCCCCCCTCCCCCATCCCCCATCCCCCATCCCCCATCCCCCCTCCCCCCCCCCTCGTCCCTCCTCCCCCCTTCTCATCGTCGGAGTCACTTTCGAACGATCGCGGGATCCACTCCCCAACACGAAACGAATCGAGTCGAGGATTCTCCGCTCGCAGGGAAAACGGAGAACGGAAGAACGGAAGAACGGAACGGGTCGCCGGCCGACGAGGCTCGAGATGCGACCGTCCGAGGGAGAAACGGTGACGCATTTCGGAACCGAGACCATCACCGGCCTCGAACGTGCACGTTCGCGATCTTCACCTTCGGATCCCGAAGACGTCACTTTTCGAGAAAAAAGAACCGATTCTAACGGAAAGGGGGGGGGGGGGCGGGTCCATGTTTATGACCTTTAGGAGCAGTCGGGTGGGCCGTGGCCGAGACGAATCGTCCGTCTTTCTTCTCGACCTTCTTTCGATGCTGCAGCAAAATCGTCGTTATTTTTTTACGGACGAGACGAAAAATCTCTGCCGGGAGGACGGCCAGACGTCTAAGCGCAATCGAGAGGCCGAAGAGAGGACCGGAGTGGCAACGACGACCGAAACTTTTTCGAGATTCGAAGGCGAGAGGGGCCTACGAATTTGGGGTCGACGAACGCCGGCGTTCGTCGATCCCTCTCGCCTCCGAGTCTCTTTTACCTTCGAAGGACTCGGACTCTCGGTCGTCGATCCTTTTCCTGGAACGGATTCGTGGCGAATGCGCGTGGACCGGGCACGGATTCCCTTTTCCTCTCCGGGACTGCAATGCGCGAACGGCGGCACGCTCGCAAAAAAAAGCGGTCGACGCGCGACCGAGACCGAGAGGTCGACGCACGACCGAGAACGCGTGCATCTCGGTACGTAGACGAGGATTCCGTTTTTCGGACCTCTTTGGAAGACGGACCGATTTCCCTTTCGGCATTTCGATTCTCCCTCCGAGCTGCCGACGACCTTTCGCTCCTCCGACCGAGAAGTCCGTCGACAGCCGACAGCGAGGACGAGTTCTACCGTGCGAAACGTTCGTCCGAACGTAACCGCTTTTTCCCCTAATCTCTGCCCGAAGGGTCTTCCGACGGGTCGAGAGAGGGGAGAAAACCGGTTTTTACCTCGGTTTCACCGCCCGATTTTACCTCAGGTAAAAATTTAGTCGTAAGGGCTTCGAGATTTCATCGGAGCGAGATGTGGAACGTGCGGTTTCGACGCACGCGTCGTCGCGATCGATCGTCATCGATATGTGGCATGTAGCACGTGCATACGACGCCGTTCCGAGAAAAACCCGAGCTCGAGTGGACGTTGCCCTCTTTCCTCGTCGATCGCTCGAAATTCCACGCACCGATCGCGACGACTTCCTCACGGTCGGAAGGTCTCGTTTCCCCTCGATTCGGGACGAAAGCATGACGATTCGCGTGCGAGTTTCGATGGGGCGATCGAAGAAAGACGAAAGCGATCGTCCCTCCTCGACGAATCCACCGTCGAGTCTTCTCTCGGAACGGTGCATCTGCAAGGGATTCGAGCGCAAGGAACTCGAGACGGAACACGGAGGAACGTGAAGTATATTTGAACGCTGCAGCTCCGGGGAATCGGCACGGAATGCCCTCGCGAGGCGATTCCCTCGCGAGGCGAACGAGAAGAACGTGAAAACGAGGGAAAAAGAAACGGACGAAGAGACTCAGGAACCGAAGAAGTAGAAGAACGGGCTCCCGTGCCTCTGGACCTGCAGCTTCTGTCCGTCCCGGAAGACGGTGAGGAATTTGGACTTCGCGGGAGCGACGAGAACTCGCTTCCGTCCGGTCGTTTCCGCGACTCGGGCCAGGGCGCCGGGACCGGCCAGGACGACGGAGTCGCCGCGAGCGACGGCCGTCCCTCCCGGTGCCGCGATGGCGGTCGCCGTCTGCAGAGCGCTTCGCTTCCTCCGAGGCGCGTCCGGGTCGCGAGCCTCCTCCGTCGCTTCCTTCGTCGCCTTCTCGGGGAGGAACTCGAGGAAGGGATTCCGTTTCAGGAGTCGAAATCCCTTCTCGTCGGCGGCGTAGTACGTGCTTCTCTCCTTCCCCCACGGGTCCCTGACGACGTAGAGGCCGGAGACGGATCCATCCTTCTCGCGTATTTCCACCGCGTAACGGTCGTCCGTCTCCGATGCCGTTCTGCGGACACGAAAAACCGATGCCGTCGATAGGTCGGAACGTTTCGTTCTCGGCACTCGAGATGTTCGATTTCGAAACACGAGGGTGATGTCCCCGCGTCGAATCTCGTTTCTTCGTGCCGGATCGCCTCCACGAAACCGGAAGAGGCCACGACGTTCGTTCGTTTACGAGTCGGTCGGAGCAGAGGAAACGGACGAAACAGGAGCAATCGGAAAGAATTCCCGATGCTCGGCACGTTTCCTCCGACTCGTTCCGGTTTCTTCGACTCGCTCTGACTTTGCGAACGCTCGGCCTGCGGTTCCGTTTCTTCCCTCCGCGTCGGATCGCCTTTATTTTCCGCTTCCACGCCCAGAGACCTCTCGATGCGAAAGACATCGTTCCTTCGAGAGAGAGTACCGCATCTCGCCTCGTCGTTCGATCGCGGATGGATTTTTTCTCGCCAGCCGGAGCCAAGAGCTTCCGTCGAGGTCGACGACGCGGTCGATGGATTCGAGATCCGGCCGTCGCGATCGCTCCTGGAGCGTTCGACCGGAGTTCGGCCTTCGCAACCGAGGTTCTCTCCACGGCGATACGAGATCGACGTTTCTGCTCTGGCACCGTAAGGGTTAACGCCCTGCACGAAGTCTTCCTTTCCGAACGTGCCCGGGCTCACGCTCGGAAGTAAGAACCTGCCTCGTTCGGTTTCGAACGGGATCCCTTGCCCTTGGAGCTTTCGAAATCGAGAATCGACACGAACGGAATCGATACGCGAAAGCGATTTACTGTTCTGGGGGTCTGACCCCGGAATCGAATCCCGCGGTCGAAGGACTCAAAAGTAGCAGTCGCATTAACCGGGCTGAGATACGAGAACGACGACTCGGTCCCATATAACTTCTAATAAAAAGCCTCACCGACGCCCTTCGATTCGCTACCTTCATTTCGCATCGACTATTCGTTTCCCTCGAATCGCCGTCGAGAATGACGTTCCGAACTCGTGGCTTCTCGGGGTATCGTTCGACTTCACCGGGAAGAGATCGCTCTTAGAAATAATGAAAAAATATGTAATAAAAAAAATCCACGAAGGAAAAAGGCGGAATCGCCACGATGTCGAGATTCGGTTCTCTCGGAATCGAAAGTCGGTCTCTCGGTCTCTCGGTCTCCCCGCGGGTCAAGCCCGAGGGATAACGAGCGGAAATTCTCACCGTCCGGCATCCGCGATGGCACGATGGAGCCATTCGATCGCGTCGTCTTTGCTGCAGCCGTTACATTCTCCTTCGTAGTTCTTTCGTTCTGCATCGAACGATGGCTCGAGTTCACCGTTCGATTCGCGCTCGACGACGATTCGAGCGGTCCTTAGCCTACACTTTGGAATGCGACGGACCTGGTCTGACCCCAGAAGTTGCGGACTTCGAATCGAGTGTCCGTGACGACGGGATACGGAGATTTCGGTACGGGAATGGGAAACGTCGACAGGTCCACCTCGGTTTCCGAAATCACTGCCGAACTCCGAGACGCATGAGACACCAAGACGGCAGGAAGAAAAAGCCTCACGAGCGACGACATGGGGAAGACGGAGGTCAAAAACCCCTGCATGAGACTCACAGCGTAGGCTATGGGGGAAGGAGCGTACTGTCCGGACCGGCTTCTCATCTCGTCCCATGGCACTCCGGAATTTTTTTCTCTTTCGCCCGTCGGCTATCCATCCGCTGCACAAGGTCGGTCAAATCCCCCGATCGTCTATTCCAACGAGGGTTTTCCTTTCCGCTTTTGTTTTCGAACCGAGCCCCCTCCCTCCGTTCACTTTCAAGGCCACCTTCCCTAATTGTTTCGTGTCATCTCTTTATATTCCTGGCATCACGTTTTTATTATTATTATTATTTAAAATCTATTATAGAAGCCTTGGTGTGGGATCCAGTCTCATTTCGTGCCACTCGTACCCTTTTCTGTTGCATCGGATTGGAGAAGGTTATTTTTTTTTTAAATTCAATCAAACATTGCAGGAATGTGCGGCATTCACCGTTTCAGGGGTATGCAAAAAGATACTAATCTATTGCATACCGCATAATCAAAGGATTTCCTGCAGGCACCAGACCGAATGAGTTTTCGCAGACCGATCCCGATCTTTCACGTCTATTGAGACTGTTTCTATTTGGAATCCGAACCCAGGTATCCGAAATTATTCTAAGGTGTCGGAACTTATTTCGTTCGATTTTAGATTTGTATTCTAATGACGTGGTTATAAGCGATGGAGAAACTGTTGTGTGGTGGGAACGAAGGAAAAGTAACATTGGAGCTCAAGTTCCTCGTTAAGGTCAAACTTTCTTCGCGAGTCTCCGCCATGTGCGTGGGGTGACGTTTCATTAAAAGTGGAAAGAAAATAATTTAAATTAAATTTACATTTAATTTAAACCCCGATTTATTTATTTATTTTTAAATAAATAAATAAATCGGGTTGAAAGGGGAATTTACAGCCGTCAACTATTTGAGCCCTTTGACTACTGTTACCTGTTTGTGATTTGCTTTCTGCCGTCGGTGAATGAAATATTATCGTACTCTACCGTTGCCCTTTTTTAAAGGCAGGCTGCCTCCTTTAGTGCTCGAGATGAAGCAAGGCCTGAAAGCCCAAGGTGCTCCGGAGTATCTTTGCTTTAATTAAGAGCACTAACTTTTGCGAGGCCTCGAGCTTTATGGTTATCCCCATCCACCAGAAGATGTCCTCCAAGTTGTGTGCGAAGGTCTCTCCTACCCTCCTACCACCATTGGAACCACCTTCGTTCTTATCATCCACACGGGTTGGAACTGAAATACAAGTAGGTCGTATTTCTCTATCTTCTCCATCGCCATGTTCACTTTCCTGTCATCAGGGCCAGGCTACGTCGGTGATGGTCGTAACTTGATCACGTTTTCTTAACGATGAGATTATAGGTTTCCTGGCTTCAATGCATTCTGTTCACATGGACTGGGAGGTCCCACAGCAATTCATAGTTCTCACTTTCCACGACCAGTTCTGGATGATGTTCCCAGCAGTTGTAGGAAGGGAGAGCAAAGATCAAATTGTAGGGCAGAAGCCTTTGCTTTGTCTTGGAAGCAGGCATTCTGACAAACTTTTGGACAGCCGCCGACTACTGCCTGATTTTCTCAAAATCTGCCCAGATCTGGGCCTTCCCCTTTCAGGATACGCACATTGAGCCGGTCGGTGTTTGGGCCAGGTCATATGCTGCTGTAATGAGAGCGTCAGTAGCCAGTTTCAGGAGCGATGTTGTAAGCCAGCGATGGCTTTCTGTTGGGATCCTCCTTCGTTCTGTCATCACAAGCTCTACTGGCCTTGAGAGGATCGAAACAAGCTTTGTGTCGGGTGTCCGGATATTTTAAGCAGGGCAAGGTATACTTGGCACTTGGCAGTCGAACTGAATCTGCGGCCAGCAATCGGTAACGGTAATCGATGCGTGGTCGCTTCGGTAGACTTCTGGCGCCACGTGATGGGATACGAGGTTAAAGCGTGGGGCTGAACCGAGCACCGATCGCAACCTAGTGGCCAGAAAGCTTCTGATATGAGCAATCCTCAGAATGAAGCGGAAAGCCACATGCGTTGAAAAACGGGTGAGGTGGGAAGCCCGTAGCGATGAGGAAACTCGTGACGAGTCGGCAGGAGAGATGGACGAAAAGTATTCGCAGTTAAATTACCACTCCAGACATCTGACATGGAGACCGAATGGGATCTATTTCAGCTATGTATCTTGCTATTTCAGTCCGATGTTTCGACTGCATCAACAAGAGTGCGAGACGAAAAGCGAATCGAAGTGGCACACGGTAACGCCCAACGGACTCTCTGGTGGAGGTCAGAAGGTACGAGGTAGGCCCACAAGTTCTTGCTGAGAAGGCAGCTTATAGGGGAATGCATTGGATGGCAAAGTCAGCGAGTGTCTGCATCTGCCTGTTCAGTTGGAAACGGGTTGGCCCACATTGAAAATTTTCGTGGAATCGCCAACACATTTTTGTATTGGCGTCCTACACATTTCCTGTCGATATCTCGCACGGTGTTCCGTCTGTTGGCATGTAAAGTTAGGAACATTTTTTGGGCTACGGTACGCCCCGTGGGTTAAATTATTTGAGGGCGTTGCGTTCAACAGAGATGCCGAAGAGCTGCATCAAAACAATAGGCCTGAGGATTCGGGGGAAGCGTGAAGAGATAGGGCTAGGGAGACAAAAAGAAAACAAGAAAGTCTAAATGAAACAGGCCTCTGAAATAAGTTTTTTTCTTCTCGTGTTCTCTGAAGTTATGTTTTCCAGCAGTTTTCTTTTTTTCTTCTTTTTCAAAATAATATATCGAGCTGCAACCTGACTAGTTTGCTTCGTATGATCACAGGATCTCTTCCACGGTAAGCACAGCGATATATCTATAATATCTACTATATATTACCTGACAGCTATGACATCAGCAGGCCAAACACATAGCATATGCATTTTTAGTCTCATTCTGGCGTAATCGACGGGGGGGGGGGGGGTGTTCACATTCGGGTTCATCAGTGATTATTCAGGGAAAGGGGGGGGCAGTACATCTGGAGATCATTTCTAGTTTGGAAATTTATAAATGGTCGCCCCATGCAGCTTCAAAACAGTCGAATGCAGTAAGAATGAGTCTTCCGAAAATGAAAGTTTCCACTTTCAATACACTCTGGTCGCACCTAGCTACAACCTGATAGTCCATATTACTTTTAATTCTAAGATAATTTTTTAATGTAACAATTGCAGCACAACAGACGGGTCGGAAGAGCTTCCAGAGGCTGTCTGGTAAGAGTGAAGATTGCATACACTGAAGATGACACAAATAGGAAAAATGTTCGAAGGACGTAATTATGGAACGTTCGTTGCTGTTATATTTCCAAGATATACAATATATTATCTAATGTAGAGATCATTATCTGGATGTTTTCATTGTCATTGATGACATAAGCGAAGCGAACTTATGACACCGTTTCGAAAGGACTTCACCCTCTGTCATTGCTTGAGCATCTCAGCTTCTTTCAGAAATCCGCAACAAGTCTTTTCACCATCATTTTTGTCTTTCGTAAACAAATTCATCGCGAACGACAGGCAACCTTTCTCTCTTCAAGGAAACCCCTGCGAAGGAGTTTGCTTCTGGCTGTCATACATGTCTAGCTCACACTCGTGAACTTCACGCCTAATTGCAAAGGTGGCGATTTATAGTTCAAGGGGCTTCAGCCCCTCCTTTATTGTTGCTGAGGGATCATGTGGAAGTGCTAACATATCAGTACTTTAACCTGCACGAGGGTTTAACCCCTCCAGTCGAATCATGGATGGATTGCATTTGACGTTGAGTATAAAGCCTAAGTGACCTTCAGAAACCTTGTTTCAACAAGGTTTTTGAAACAAACACTAAGAATCTTCAATGCAAGAAAAGTAACATTAAAAAGAGCAGATGAGACATTCACAGAAATTATGGGCAAAAGAAGAAAATTCGAGCGTCGTGGCTCCTGGTGTTTTTGGAACAACAATGAAATTGAGAATAAGGAAGCATGAAATTAACAGCAGCAATTCCTTTATTCCCATGCAATGGAAAGTGAAACATGGTCCATAGATGACAATACATACTTCCAAACGTATGCACGAGGATATACGGGACTGTATCGATGACAACCACAATCAAAATGAAAATGGTTCCAAATCAGTGGCATATGCAGAAGGGGGGGAGGGGGGCTCAAGGTGTCCCATTGGATTGTCTTGAGCCCCCCCTCTGCATACACTGCTGTTTCAAATATTTCATTCAGTAAAGTTCTTTATCACAAAGGACAGCAGAGTCAATGTGCCCTTCCCTCGAGGGGTCTCATCACAGCTGGCGAGATAAATAGATGAGAGATGAAATGCAGCCAACATTCATGTGGCATGATTTTCAGACTGAGGGATTCAACATGTTGGAGTCACTCTCAATGACTGAAGAGATCCACGGCTGAGGGAAGCGGTTTCATGCCACCTGTCACCTGTGGCAGCTTGCTTAAGTCAGGCAGGCTCTGCAGGTGCGCCGTCAACTCCTTTTTCACGCTGTACATCTCTACCAGCTTTGCCTGAGATTCCTGGCAAACAAATAAACCTCAATCACTCTTTGGCTCTCAGGGACAAGGATGGGCTATATGCTCTTGAGATACATTATCATCAAAAAAATGCCAATCCTCTCAAAAAGTCCACTCAAGAGGGAGGAAAGATGAAGCAAAGCACAGCTAGTTCTTTCCACACTGGTCTGTCTCAAATAAACCTCAGCAAAATGGATTTTCCAGCCCAAATTCATTGTCAATGGTTAAATACAATTGTTAATCATTTTTCCCAGTTGATGAGTCATCCCATTTACCTAACCTACAATGCTATAGCATGGAATAGCAGATTAAAAACAGGAAATCAGATTGCCAGGACAAGTTTAACCTTTTCACTGCTATGTTGAGTTTACTTGAGTGTAGAAATATATATCTTCTTGCAGTATTTCTTCTTGAATTTGTTACCAGAGACTTTTCAGGAAAAATCTGAACCAGTCCAGTTATACATTTACATAATAAGGTAAATAAAGGAACATATACTTCTTTTTTTTTTTTTTAAAGCAGAGCCCACAATGAGCAAAAAACTCAGCATAATGGTGTGTAAAGAAAAAGAATGTAGTAGTGAAAGATTAAATATAAGAAAGAAACCCTGGTTATTGTTCAAAACTCCTCTAGGCACCACCATGTCTCACAGCTGGTTAGGTGAAGTCATATTGTCTTGTTAGATCACTTATACTTTTACCAAGGCTTTGATATTCCATTTTGATTATGAAAACATATACCTCTATTTCACCCAGTTTCAAGTTCCACCTTGTCAGGTTTGAACATAACCCTTGAATAACCCCATTAACCATTTGGCTTATTAATTTCTGAGCACTGAAATTGCACCAGATTATGATATTTGATTATGATTTCAATAGCTCAGAACTTCACCTTTAAGATGACAGACAACATGTACTACTCTTGGAGAAATGCATGAACATCTAAAAGAAACAAGTAGCTGGCTATGACAAGCAAATCACAGTATTAGTAAGAATGGGCTTTGCTATAACAGCTGGTGAATCTCTGTCAGCCAAATGAGTTAATTGCAATTCATCCTCTGGACCCAGTATGGTGACATTTGCTTATTTATGAGAAGAAATCCTTAAATTTTCCTTTATGGGCTGTGGGACCTTTTCCACAGAAGATGGGACATCTATGTTGAAAACATTTGAAGTATTTAGTTCACTCTCTGCTTACTCTCCATTCCATACCTCACCTTCTGCTAATTATCAACTCATTCAGTTCTTCCCTAATAGTCAGCTCCTCCTAGCTCTCCTTTTGGCTATCAAACTAAAAAGTCCATAGCTAGGGTTTGCAAGTATGTTTTATGGCAGCAAAGCATCAGAATCATCTTAATTGGTGAAGTACAATACACTGAGTGGAAAAACGAAACAATGAAAATATTTGAAAGTGTGTCAAAACAATTTTTCATCAATAATTCCAATAAAATTTTGTGATCAAAGCTAGGTTGCTTCAAGAATACATTATCAACTGAAGAAAACTTGTACATACTTTGCATGAGTATTGAAGTCCCCATATTCAGAACACCTGAATTCATGTTGAATTCACATGACAAATCCACCAATTCTGCACAAATGCAGAGATACTTTCCAGCTTACTTACTTTACTATTCCAAGTAAGAATATATTTCAAATAAATCAATAAAAAATGTTCCCCCAAGATATTAAGATCCTCAGAGATGTTACAGTTTTTCTTATGATGTAAAAAGAAAGAATAGGCATTAAACTTTCTTGAGACATAAACTCATTTTTTTGAATCTAACCATCTGTATCTATCCCACAACCAACTTCTCAAGATGCAAGATCAAGTAAATTACATTCAGAACTTGTGATTTGGGCTGGATGGAAGGTAAAACTTTATAAATTCTTGGCCCTATTGGACTGATATAACTCAGGCAATTGGTGCCCTTTGCTTAAGTATGCAAGCAGAAAATTAAAGAACCAAAATATCAAGCCAAGCTGTACTTTGTACCACCTCTGGGGCTTGCTTTATGTGATATTAATACTTTAATAGAATGCTCTCATAAAAGACAAAGTTTGGTTGAACCACCTTATAAAGCTTGAGGCACTGGGCATATTTAAATCTCTCGGAACGTAGAAATGAGTCTAGCATGGAAGAGAGGTTCTTGCGGGTCTCCATTTCAGCAGTGAGACGGGCATTGTATTCGGTCAGGAGTTGCATCGCATTGGTCACTTGCTCCAACAATCTCTTTGCCTGCTGCTGGTCTGCATACAAATAATCAATATCATCTGAGACCTATAATGAAGACCTGGTAGGAATGAGAGGAGAATTACAAACCTTGGAGGGTGGAAATTCTAGAAGCATCTGAGACCTCCGCTGGAAGTCCAGCAATCCGCTCCCTTGTAGCTGCATCACTTGTTGCAGAATTCTCCAAACCCTTCATAACAGCATTCATTTCATCATATGAAGGAATAGCTTTCTAGAGGCTGTTTTAGAGTGATGGTTATAATTGTCTTGTCACAAAATGTGTGATCCTATCTTGCACATCATATTTGGAGAGGGATGGGGTTCACTTTCCCAGCATGCAGCCACAGTTGAGAGTGTAACTGATATGACAGAGGATCAAGCCTTCTTAAAAACAACCACACAAACCTCTTCCCCCAATTTGTCTTCTACTTTCTTCCTAAATCTTCCACAAACTCATCTTCTTCTAGGGGTCTGTGATTATATCATGCTGTTAGAAAGTAGCTGGATGAGATAAAGAGTATTGTACAGGTAGAATGCATTGACTAATTTGTCATAAAAGGTTTTTGAGTAACTGACTAACACCATGGAAAAGGAATCAATGAAGTGTTTCACAGCATTCCATTGGATAGGGATAGGGTTGGCAGCATGAGAGCAGCATGCTACTATATAGGCCCTCCTCTAATATCATGTGTAATGCGATATGTTTCATGGAAAAATGGACTGACTTTCTTGGCAAATGAAAAGGTGATGCAGAATGATTATGGGTTGATATACTGAAACCCAATCCTTTCAAACCATACTTTTGCACTCCAGATTTCAACTTGAAATACACTGGTTTCTAAGGAACAAATAGATTTTCCCAAATTCTGCAACACCTGTCATGAAAATGGTACAAATGACAGGAGTATGTAAATTAATGATGCCATGTTGCTGTAGCACATGCAATGAGGTGGAGATTGCCCACTGATATGCAAATAATATGTCTTTAAAAGACAGTGCTCAGAGAGGGGGTAGCGCAGTTCACGTTTGGATGGCAAGCAGTTAATTTCAAGATAGCCAAATCCTGAAAATGACCATAAGGAACGATCTAACAGAGCCATTGTGACTTCTGGATTGCAATCATTTGTGGGGATCGTCCAACCAACATCCAACAACACATTTATGGCTAGTTTATCCAAAATATTCACAAGGTGTTCATCATATCATGGATTTTCAATGTGTTCCTTAAGTTTTGGAAACCAGTGTAATTACACATTTGCTTCCTTCTTAAACAGCTTGGTTTCATGTTTTAGCAAATACATTAGCAAAGGAAAATTTCAATATACCTAAAATACTATGGAATGTTATCATGGCACCATTTAGAAACAGGGATGTTTTGGATGAGTGGATGAAGAATAAATTTTGCCTAGTAAAGAAGGGTACAAAGGCTATGGCTATGGTGGAAAAATCACCCAGCTATAAAATCTGCCCCTACATTACATATTTCAACATAAGAAAACCAGACAGCCTTTTTCAATCAAATTAATCATGTCTGGCCTCAAAACATGAATGGATAGTGTGTGCATTTTCATCTTGAATGAAATAGATAATAAAAAAAAAGAATTTCAAGACACAGGTAAAAGGGTAGATTTTATGCCTTTTTCATGGGGCAAAAATTTGTATCACCTATACTACATGTCATAAAATAGCAATGGCTATAAGAATGAACATTTTCTTAAGTGAGGCATACTAGGTTGTAATGAAAGTTTTTGTGCATAAATACAAAATTTATTTCAGCATCATTTTCTAAATAAAATTTATTTATTTATTTATGTATTTGGTATTATTTTGAAGCGTGTTTATTGCAACGTATAAATATATGTTGCTTTTTCTAAAATTTAAAATCACTAAATTTATCAAAATTACAGCGTTCAGAATGAGTGATGAAAAAGGCATGCTTCACAGACTGTTGTGTCATTACTGGAAAAATGGATTGAGTGCAAAGGTGGCAGCCAAGCAAATTTGTGAAGTTGAAGGTGAAGGTGTTGTCCACAGAAATACCACAACAATTTGGTTCAAGCGCTTCAACAATGGTGACACCAGCCTCGCAGACAAACCTCGATGGGGATGGCCATCCGAAGTGGATGACGAGGTAATGACACAACATCCAGTAAAAAGGGAATGGTTGCATGTGGATATCAGCAATATTACATTAATCAAGTTTTATCCATTGTGCTTATTATTTCCTGGTCTTGCTGCTAATTGAGAGATTAAGTACCCATTGATACCATGGTTAGACAGTAGACACTAGTAATTAGTGGAGGTATACAAAGCGATTTCAGGATGGAGAAACAGACATAATGGCCTAAACTTTGCAATGTACATTTGGCCTCTATCATCACAGATGCAGCTATGGAGACTGTGGAAGGAAACCCATCTTGTACACACTTTGGAGTATCCCAGCTTGTCAGTCATCATGACCACATCTGATTTCCTAAGCTCACACACAATCACACAGCAATTGCTTCAGATGATCCAAGCCACAACATGCCATGTACATTGTCTCTATTTCTCCTTCTTTAAATGACTTCATCCACTTTCATAAATTGCTAATGTCTACAGTGGATTTGTCATATACAGCCAGGAGAGAACAGTGGATTTCAGCAATGTTCTTTCTTTGTTAAGGAATTTAATGGCTGCATGTTGTCTAACAAATGTATCCATGGGCACATAATCTCTCAATCAGCAGTAATATATGAAAATGAACAAGGATAACATTTACATAACAGAATATTGCAGATGTAGCCATTCCCTTTTTACAAACAGGCATTATTTTCCTTATGGCCATAATAGCTATCTCAATTATACACCATCTCCAAAAATATTGATTTTGAATTAGCTCCTTGTAGTGAAAATGGGTTGAGAAACCTGGAAGGATGAATATTTGATCATAAAGACATCTGTTGGTCATGCTAAATACTGGCAAGAAGCTTAGACAGGAAGTCTCAATGGTTGGAGAATAATACCAATTCCAGCTGATGTGGCTGAAGCTACTATCATTGCTTCAGTCACATAAACTTAATTTTTGGAATTTTAAATAACCCTATTCAGTCCTCACTGATACAATAAAACCTAAAATAATTCTATCTGAGATTGATCAAAGTGAACTTAGCTTGCAACTTTACCTTAAGGACTTCAATGAGCTTTTCTGGTGAAGGGCTATCTTCAGGTGGCTCCAATACTTCCTCATCCTTGTGGTTTTTCAAAGGTCCATTCTGAGACTCTGATGGACTCTTCCCACCCATGATGGCAGCTGCCACTCCCAAATCTTCTACCATGTTCTCCAAACTCAATGTGGGATGCTTGCGATGTCTTTCTTTCCGAACTTTAGGTGGGGGAGAAGGAACCACTGGAGGCCTCTCTGGAACTAAAGAAAAATGCTTGAGACATGAAGGTAACAAAGAAAACAAGAGTAAACATGAATCTTTTTATCCACACACAGTCAATGGTCTTCCTCTTACTAGGATGTTTGAAGTACTTTTTCCAGCTGGAAATAGTGTCTGCATCATAGACACCCCTCTCCTGCCAAACGTCTAAAATGCGAAGTATTGACTTGAGTGTCTTTGAATCCATGTGCTCATCTTGCATGTTCTCAAACACTCGAGAGAGGACTTCTCCAAATGCCTGATTGAATTCATTCCCTTTCTTCTTGCTGTTTTGGATGACATCATTGGCCAGGTAGAGGAACACCAATTTTTTCTTTGGTTGAGCTGGAGAGGAAATAAAGAGCACTTTCTGGCAACAATCTTTGTGATTATCACTTAGGCATAGAATTTAATGGGCACCACCAAGGTAGGACAGTTGGGGGGGGGGGGGGGGGGGATGACAGCCAACTAAAGTTGAGTGTGACCAATTCAACTAGAATCACTATAAGCAAATGCTTCCATTCTGGTGGTTCCTTTAACCTTTCAAAAAACAAAATAATGTTAAGTCCAAAGTTTGGAGGAACAAGTACCTTAAGCCTTCCCTGCCAGCAATGCTTTGTATCAACTTTTTTCAGCTCCAACAAGGTCTTATAATTTAGCCTAAAATATAATGGCTTTGCATGCATCCAAGTAAGGCCATGACTCTTTCAGAAGTTGAACAATTCCAAGTTTTTGAGAGATGATGTTTCATTCAATTATTCTGAGAAATGAAACTTCCTGGAATTTTATTTAAGATGAAGTTAATAATACAATTCAGGAATGCTAGAAGTCCCTTTAGACATCTAATGTCAGCATTAAAAAGGTTGCAGTTGATGGGTAAGGAGTCACTGATCAAAAGGGTCATATAGCCACATTGTAGACTAAGGCCTAGGACCTCACTGACATGAGCCATGAGGCTTCACATCTACAATCCTTAAAATATGCTCAACCCACCCTCCAGGTTTCAATGATCAGGTCAGGTATATTTGAAAATAAATAAAAAAAAGGAGGGGTGAAAGCTCCTTCTCTCACTTTTTTGCATCTGCTATGGATGAGCCAATCAAGACACACCCTTGTTCTGGTTCCCACATCACTGAAACCTTTTCATTTCATCTAAAAATACTGCTATATATATATTGCACCATAAGGGAAAGCTTTACTGTTATTAAAAAAAAAGTTGAAGATATCCACTAAATGTGTACACTAATTTATGCATAAGTTATGCAAATTTAGATGCCAACAGTTTCTTTGCTTTTTTTTTGCAAAAGACATAGATATCATAATGTTCAGTATTTTACTGTGACTCATTTTGAATTGAAGCAATGAGCTAAAAGCTATTGCTGAGGGGTCAATAATAGACAGAATGCAGTTGGTAGACTGCCAACAGCCCAAAGGGTAATGGTGTCCACAAGAGTGGCATTGCAGATAATGATAAATGGGAGCAATGCCAGAAGCCAAAGGAAATAACACATGTCCCTCTACATGGCCTCTTCAAAGAAAGGTTTGTAAAGATATGGCAGACAGAGGTGAGATCAGATGAGTTGTAACTGATGAGATTCAAGACTATCCATGGGGATTTTTCTTAATGACATGAAGTAAAGGGGAAAAATATTATAAATGCAGTTTTGCATTTATAACAATGATAACTTCACTAGCAAAGCCCACACAAGAAGTAATACCAAGAAAATGGTCATTTTCCCATAGAAAAAGGAAGGAGTATCTTCTTTCAACACTACCATTCCACTGAAATACAAGTACATTTAGCTTATGCCAAACTCTCTACAGCTGTCATGTATTTTCATTCTGGACAGCTCTATATAAGGTCTTATATGCCATAATATATCTAGAACAATGATTAATTAGGTATTTCCATGTTATTTAATATCTGACAAAAGAGTGAATGTGCAATCTTGGAAATTATCAGCAGGGTAATAATTTACCTTTCTTTCAGGCAGAAAAATGACTTTTGAAAAATATTTACATTTGCATCTGGCAATGCCATTTGCATTTTTCAATTCCTTTGGTGCGAAGGAGGATATGTCTCAATATTCTTCTGTTTGAAAAATATGCATTTTCTTGCCTTCCTATGTTCAAACTGTATGTTTGTCCAATTTTCAGACGACTGTTATAAAACCCAGCTAGTGTCAACATTAAAAAGTCTACTTAACTTATTACTTTCTCAATCTGAGTACCTGAATTTGCATCACTTTCAGACAAGACTCAATTAACATTAATGTTTTTGTCATTCCTTATTTATTTGCACCAGTTATCTCTGGAACAGGAAAATAGGGTTTTCCTCTTGGAAATCTCAAACCCAGACATCAATGCAGACCAGGCCAACATCATCATCTGTATAACATGGGTAGGCAGGGGCTACTTGCTCGACAGAATGCTTACTGACAATATTTCTAAATTCTTCAGAACTAATATCCAAAGGGGTATGGTCTAAAATGGCCATAGAAGTTCAGAATATCCATACCTACCATAATTGAACTGGCTCAAATAACAGCAGGCATGGCTGTGTCAAGCACCTATGATCAGCTTCGCAGTTGGTTGACAGTTAACCAAGAAAGTTAACTAAGACATTCCAAATCTTACGAAGTTTAAAGCAAAGCTAAAGGACCACTTTCTTTTTTTATTTATCATATTTGATGCTTCTTCATAAATAACGAATAGAAATAAAGCAAAAAGTACTGACCTACTGATTCTCATGTGATATTAGTAAACCAACCCAGGCAGACCAGGGCAAGCCACTGGCTTTTTGGTAAGCCCTAAAATCAAGGCAGCATGATTCCCATGATTCTCAATTCAATTATTCTCCCATTCACTCCCCTCCAAAACTTATCCACTGTTTAAATGTTTTGTTTGTTCTTACACTGCTTGCATTGTACGTGTTCCTTAGAAATAAAGCTGCTCTGTTTCTTTAAAGGAAACAAAAAAAAAAACCTTCCAAGGCGAGTTGCCATTTGTCCACGGGATGGGCAAAACAAATTGGTTTCATGTAATAGGCCTAGATTTCAGGCTTGGCTTATTTGTAGGCTCAGGATTTGTTTAAAACTTGAAGGTTGGCCATTTACGGCTTGGAATACGATGAGCGTTGGCCAATCAACCAGTTCATGTTTTTTTAGCCTAGCCTTTACTCACCTTTACGAAACTCTTGAAACCAAATGCGAACGATGACATTACTGTGCCTTCGATGATGAATCAACCAGAGGGAAAGGGTTTCGATGCTCTGCTGGGATCCCGTTAATTCATCGAGATTCTTGATGAGCCGATCCTCAGCGAACGCTGTCATCTTGCCGTCTCAAAAGAGACAATTCGTCAGGGATGAAGCACGGTTGTCATGAAAGCGGAACCGCGTGTGAAACTTTGTACAAACAATAGGAAGCAGTAAGGATATCGGAACATCTACTTTTACTGGGCCCATCATAACTCTTTCAACAGCATACAATAAATTCCAGTATGAATAGATAGGATTTACTACTTTCAATTTTTTTAATTGTGCACCCTTAAATACCTCTCACCTGACGCTCAAGGTCCATTCGCTACACCTACCAGTACACAGAATTAGCAGCCAAAATTCAAAGAGCCATATGGAGCTCCTGACAACGACAATGGGACTCCTCCCCTAAGGGACGACACCTCCATGCTATAAAACCCATCCTAGGTAAATGGGATATTGAAGGTGATTCCGGAAGACTCCAGGTTGTCCTCAGTCGACTAAGAACTGGCCACGTCAGACTCAATATTTGTTTATATCGAGTGCACCAAGTGACCTCCCCCTTATGCTCTGAATGTCATACCAAGGAAACAGTCACCCACATCCTTCTCGACTGCATTAAGTATAGAGGACAAAGTTACACTTTGAGAACGTCATTAAATGAATTTTGGAACCAAGGACTTATTAATAATAATAATAATGATAATAATAATAGTCACCTAATAACGACTAAGTCGTTATTAGGTGACGCCATATGTAGTCTTACTCCTGAGCAGAATGGATTATTTTTTCAGCTTTACGTAAATTTCTACAAGATAGTGATCTCTTACGTTTACTATAACCAAGGGCTCATCTAAATCAAACTAGCCCTAATACTTTTTCTTATAATCAGGTCCTTGTTTATATTATATGCAATACTCCCCTTTTCTCTTTCTCTCTCCTCCGGTCACCTTTTTTTTTAATATGACACAAATCACGTGAATTGAACCTTCCCCTCATGTCCTAACAAGGCCCGTCGACCCCAATGTGTTGTCTCGAGTAAGACCCCCTGAACGGCGCAGTGGGGCAGTAAACTTATCCAGGGAATTAATTTTAGATGTGTTTGTAACCCCCTACTTCTAAGTTATTATTTTGTGTGCAGCAAGTTATTTGAGGAAACCACACGAAGACCTACGGTTGAAACCTTCAGCACACAGCCATAATCGCCGGGAAGACGAAAGGCTCATCTCCACCCTTCTCAACAACTACAACGACGCTCAAGGTCCTCGCTCGCCCCATGTATTAGCAACATCTCGAGTACTGCAGTCTACTGCTGAGCTTCCAGCCCTTGTGCACTATACCTCCTTCCTTAACTTCCCTTGCATCCTTTCCGAATTTTCAAACTCCTCTTCCCTGTGCAGCCAGGTTTCCTGGTTTTTTCGTTCACTCCCAGTTTAAAATCCCAACTGGAATATTCCAGCTGGACTAAATCTGTAAATTCGGACCATTTCCATCTGGCAAAGAGCTGGAAAATAGTAGGTACCAGTTGTTTCTTAGCTGGAATTTTCCAACTGGAATGCAGCTGGTTNATCTGGCAAAGAGCTGGAAAATAGTAGGTACCAGTTGTTTCTTAGCTGGAATTTTCCAACTGGAATGCAGCTGGTTTTAATAGCTGTTTCCAGCTGGAATGTAGCTAAATTTACAGTTGAAAATCAGCTGTTCCTGTAGATGGACCCTCCGACAAAAATAGTCAACAAAAAGATTTTCATTCAGTTAGTGATATAGCAATTAGGAACAAATCTGGAGATGACTACTTTCCAGTTGTTACCCAGTTGGAATGGGTCCGAATTTACAGCTGGAGTCCAGCTGGAAATTATAGCTGTTTCCAGCCGGGATTTTAAACTGGGCTGTTCTTGTAATGGAAGGACAATCCTGCTTTTTATTGTTTCAGCTTCTCTCCACCAAGCGTTAACTTGAATAGTTGAGTTCCATCCTGATTTCGCTATAGCTAGTCCTTCAATTATTGGTTTCTCTCTGAACCTGGAAAGGTAATGAAACCACCAACTTCCTGACGATTTTGCAGCATTGTTTGGGTATAGGTGATGAAGTAGATCTCCACTTGTCAAGTAGCATTGAATTCTACTGCCATCTCCCAGTGATTTGAATTTGCGATACGAACGACATCTGGGGATGGGGCTACATTTATATGACGAGGTTATAGCATTTGAGGTGTCTTTTTTTGACAAGTACAGATAAGCTTCAGCACTTGTATCTGATCAAGTTTGCAAAATCATCAGAAAATGGACGGTTCATTGATTTTCTTAGGATCAAATTTTTAATGCTGAACCTAGAAAATTGATTAGACTGTCAACTTCTTGAATAATAATAAATACACACCTAACGAATTTGGAACTTCCAGATATCAGATGGAGAAGGGGTTCCCGTCATTAGAGACTCCCAATTTTCCTTATATAACAATTTCCAGCGAGTTTCATCAGCATTCTAAAGAAACACACCTTTCGAATTTCAAACACACGCTTTCGATCAATAATGAGGGATTCCAGTCATTAGGGAAATGCCAATCGCCCTATGCAAATTTTTACTGAAATTCACTCCGTAGCCTTCTAGTGAGACCCGTCGTTCTAATTTCGAATGGATTGGCTCAATAGGACAGATCTGACCCACGCATCGGGCGTATAGATCGGTTGACAATCGAGTTTCCGTTAGGGTGAAAACGAATATTTCATCAGAGACCTCGAGCTCTGGAGCTTAGAAGCCTAAGAGGGCTGCGGACCGGTCCGATCGGCCGACACGTTCCGCACGCGGGTCGGACCCATAAGACTCTGTCACCAGTCGAGTTTCGGGTCGTGTACAGGACGTCATAATGGTAAGACTTTTTGGACTCCTCACTCAATAGGTATTGCCTCCAGATAATAGACTTTCGATTGACACCTCAATCATGAGGATCCGTTCGTCCATTTTGGAGGAGTTTCTCGGAGTGGCACACGGACGATTAGCTTTTTATGCGTAAAGAAGATGGATGATAGATAGACAAAGAAAGAAAGGACTCCAAGGCAATTAATAAAATACGTGGGTTGTTCTGAAAGTCTGGTGAAAGGTTATATTTGTCATAATATGCCAAAAGCTGACTTTTCCCCCCCTTTTTTTTCTATTGGGTTTTATAAGTTCCAGTGAAATTTTTTCATAATTGTTTGCCTAGCGTGAGTGACCGAAATTTGTAAGAGCACGAAGGCCCCCATTTAAGGGGAAAATAGGGACTTGAGAAATTTTGTCTGAGTGCCATGAAAGACTTTGATTCATCTTTAACACGTTGGCGACAATGCGTCCTGATGCCAGGATGCATATTTTTTTTCAATGAATACCCTCTGGAACTGTTGA